TCAAAACAAGTTTCTACAGCCATGGTCCGACCATCAATTCGAATAACCACGACGCAGATTGCGCGCTAACAGACTCGTAAGGGCGACGCCCTTAAACTATGGGGGGGATAGTTGTCAAAATTTAAACGTTCAATTGATCGATTGATTGTTCAAATTGAACAGTCGTTTAATCATGTCAAAACGTTCAAGTTGAAATCGATATGGATTGTTATAATTTGAAACAGTCGTTTAATCATTCACGTTCAATTGATCAGAATGATACTGTTCAACTTGATCGATTGAATTGTTCAATTGAACAGTCGTTTAATCAATTCAACGTTTACTTGATCGATTGATTGTTCAAGTTGAAGCAGTCGTTTAACTCCATTCAAGACGTTCAATTGATCGATTGATTGTTCAAGATTGAACAGTGCGTTTTATTATTGCAACACGTTCAAATTGAGCAAGTTAATAACGAATTGCCAAATTGAATCACCAATTGACTAAATCAAAGGCACGAATACTGAATAGGCGTGACTTGAATACTGAACTAGGATAACTGAATAGTGCTGTATAGGCGAATAATAGAATGGATGCAATTGCCGAAGGCTCGTCAATCGCGCAAATCAAACGTATACGCTACTGCACATGCCGCACAAGAGGCATGACGGACAGAGCCGGTGGTAGCGCGGTACGTTCTAGAACCAATCGGCCGGCGTTTCGCGCAGGCTAAGTGCGTGTACACGCGTGTACGTGCGTGCCCAGCGTGTACTGCGTGACCCGCGTCCGCGACGTGCGGGTACCCGCGTGTACGTGCGCGTGTACCCGCGTGTAGCGTGGCGGGTGTACCGCGTGTACGTGCGTGTACCGCGCGTGTAACAGTGCGTGATATCGCGTGTACGGGTGCGTGGTACCTGCGTGTAGCGTATGCGTGTACCCGCGTGTACGTGCGTGTATCTGCGTGTAACCGCGCGTGTACGTGCGGTGTACCCGCGTGCTACGTACACGCGGGTAGCACGGCGATACCACGCACTAGCACCGCAGATACACGCGGGTACACGGAGATACACGCAGGTACAACGCGGGTACATCGCACGTGGCACGCACGTGCAGGCGCGGTAAACGCACGTACTACGCCGTACACGCGCAGCGTACGCCGCGGTCAACGCACGTACACGCCGTGCACGCGTGCTACCGCGCGCACACGCAGGTAGCACGCACGGTAACACGCGGTACACGCACGTACACGCGGGTAACACGCATACACGCACACGTACACGCACGTACCGCACGTACACGCAGATACACGCGACGTACACGCCGGGTTAACACAGCACGTACACGCGGGTACACGCACGTGCACGCGTGCACAACGCGTGCACACGCACGTACAACGGCACGTACAGCGCGGGTACACGCACGTACTTTTCGACTCTTTCCCATTTCCTAATTTAGACTTTTAAATAGGAAAGGATCAGAAAACCCATTTCCCATTACCTATTTATACTTTTAAAATAGGAAACGGATCGAAAACCTATTTCCTTTTCTTCTTCTTTTTTGCAACGTCAAATGGGAAAAACAAACTCACGTAGTAGTGATTAGTAAATCTCGGTAAACGGCAGGTGTGCGTCCGAGATTCAAAAAATTCCCGTGAAACCCGGCTACACACGGCAGGCTCTAACAAGTTTATCATTTCAATGACCTACTTGTTATCAACCACGCACTGTCTAAAAATAGGTATTGGTATAGACTTTTGGTGTTGTGTGGTTATAGGACATGGGTAAAACGCATTATAGCTTTTCACTTCGCTGCGCTGGCTGCGCCGCTTTCCAAGCACTTGGCTTTCAGCTTACTGTGTAAAGCATGCTGATGGAAGTGAGCAAGTTGAATCGTCTAGACTCCAGACCGGAAACACAGCAAAACAACGCGGCCATGCCTATGCGCCTCCGCGAGATGCCCCGACCGTTCTGCGCGTAGTTTGAAACGGCATTAACTTACATCCTTGAACCGTATTTGGGCCTTTTAAAGGTCATAGAGTGATTTCGGGTCTTTAAAATTCATGGAGTGATTTCGGCTTGAAAAGTCATGAGCTGATTTGAAGCTTTGAAAAGTCCATACAGAAGTGTATAATTATTATTGACTATTATTATACACTCCCTGAATAATTAATGGATATAAATATATAGTATCACGAATTATTTTTCAGTGCTGTCGATCGAAAAAACAAAGTAAATTTACGACTAATTAAATGTGACACTCATGGCACGCTACCAACCTATCACCTACCTATCGCTCATCACCGTACTACCTAAGAGCTTCCCTATTTCATGTGGTTTGTTGGCTTAGTTACAGTCGCCAAGGATATGGGATGCTAGTGCGGCGTCGTAAGACGATATTAAATTTTATAGTAAGCCGTGCGCTGAGCATGTGTTTCACCTGACGCATCTACTCGGAAGCCACCTCAAGCGGGGAACAGATTTATCGTTCAGCTCAAGAGTCTTTGGATGTCAGATTTATGTCAGTTTAATTGGCAGCTGCGTTAGCGGTGATGATTGAGAAGGCGCTACCGTAAGCGATACAGCACGTACGATAACAGCGCCATAACGATATAGGCGTCGTAACGAATAGCACAGCGCCGTAACGATAAACCAGAGCGCCGTAAACGCAACTACGGCGCCGTAACGAATTACATGCCGTATATCGTGGTGAGAGGCAGATAAACGTGAAAAGACGTTGAAAGTCATAGTTTGGAAAAACGGTTGTTCGTTATGACACATAAACGCGATCGAAAAAAGAAATGAAAGTGAAGAAGACATCCCACCCAACCGCCTTCCGCTTCGCTCTCCGTCCGCGCTCTTGCTTTCTGCCTCCTTATTGCGGCTCCCTCTAGCGCTCTCCACCCACTCCTCTCTTTCCTCCCTTTTGCTCTCTCACTCACTTCCTGTTCTCATACCCTCTCAAGCTGTACTCGACAATTTGTCTATCTGGATATTCTAATCCGATCTCTATATATATCTCTATCTATATCGTGGAAATGCTACATTTATCTCTGTAGCACAAGGAAGTAAGATTCTAGGGTAACAGCACTAGCGATTTTCGTGGGTCGAGCCGGCCGGCGAAGACCGCATGAAAAAGTCGGCTACGTGTGTCCAGTGTCCCGGTGCAGTCACGTCGATTTTCGATAATGTTTGATAATTATTTGAGCCGGCCGGCTGCAATCGCCTAGTGTGGCCCGGGTCTGCGATAGAGCGGCGCCGATTGTACAATCATACAGCACAATCCAATGCAAACAAATTGTTGTCACGTGAATCACCAACGATGCCCAACAACTTCTGAAGTTTGCCTGGCGACATTCGCTATATATAGGAATCTATATCCCCCAACTTCTTGACTCTGACGTTCTGGAGGATCTTAACCAGTTTATTATATACACGCCGTGTCGAATTGCGGCGCAGTATCCACGTTCTTTGGCCCACGCAACCCGATTCTCCACCTCTTCCTTCGGCGTCGGTTTTTTCGTAGGAGCAACAAAGTAGAAAAGTTATAGGCTATTTTTTCGTTTTGCTTTGCAGCGGGACGGTGCCATTTGACAATCAAGTGACTATCAAATCTAGGTGGGCGCGAATGAAGCGTGCGAATAATCCACGAGAGTCCGCGCCGGCTCAGCCGCCTAGTGTGTCCGCAGAGCTCCAGACTCAGCCGGCCGGCTAAACTAAATCGCCACATCAATGCACATCAGCGTGTAGAGTATATACAGCAACCCCCTAACAACATAACGGCCGACGTCTTCTGACCAAAATCAGATCAGCACTCGGTATTACTGTACCCTCAATCATCTATTCTTTACGACAGGAGTGTGCTTAGCGGTTGGTAACTGGGAGCCATGACCAGGCCAACACGTTCGCACGTGCGAATTCGGACATATCAATATGCAAAGCAGCGTATATGCCAGAGGGCGAAGCCAACCTGTACCTAGCACATCTTTACATCGTGCTGACTTATCAACCCGTTAAACTCGTTCAGAACTCGTTCAACGTTGTAACTAAAAGTTCGTGTAAGTTGCGTCTTGCTTTGGGCCAAGCGGTGGAACGCCGATAGTCCGTAGCCTGTAGACTCGAAACTGTAAATCTTAGCCTGGCGAAAGATAACTAAAAGACAGCTAAAAGATAGCTAAAGGATAGCTAAAAGATAGCTAAAAGACATCAAGTCCGATGATCAGGATATAGTATATCAGGAATAGGCGATGTATTGTACATGTGTCCATGTGGTGGGAAGGTGACTTTTGCCACAGTGCAGGCACGCAACAATTATAGTTAATCACCATCTCATAGCAATTAATATAGTATTATAAACGTATTATTCACTGGAAATTATGCCAAATCGATGATCGCCAGATTTTAGGTATCAGCACAAACCTACGCATGCGCGATGGTATGTTTTGAGGGTTAACTCAGGAGATATGGATGAAAAGTTCTGGTAAAAGTGCTAGGAATCCCATAGTTAGCAAAGGCAAATCACAAACTATTTTTGCCTGAATTCATAGTCATTGATTGAGAGTCACTAAAAACCTCGTCGCACATCCGCATGGACATACTCCTGGGGGCATATTAGGCATGCGTGCCTACTATTGATCGATAATGTATCTAGATTTCACGTCGGACCTCTACACGCGGGTGGACTTTCACCAGGACGTGGGACTTTCACAATCTCTTCGCTGTATATACTATTGCAGGTTTTAAGCTGGACAAAAAAAAGCTTGTTAGCAATTTGCTCTGAAAATTTATAGCCAAATTCATGCTTTATAATTAAGCCAAACAAAAGGTGATGTTTATTTTATTTTAATTGTATTTCACACCGCATTTAAAAAAGCCGCGTTAACGCCAACTTTCAACATTTTCGCGTTTTCATTTTATAGCTATTGATGTGTCGTGATCTCCTGAGTCTCAGCGCTATACTATCTAAACTCTTCTTCCAACGTTTTCTGTTTATTTTATAGCTATTTGTGCGGACTTTGTTTGCAGGCGTCTTCTGAACGAGGTGTACGACGACGTGCGGGAGGTGTCACTCATGGACAGCAAGGACGAGGAGAAGCTGGCGATGATGAAGAGACCGGAGTTGGGGGTGACCTTGACGAAGCTGCGCGCCTGGAACGTCCTCGACGACTTTCGAAGATGTGTCTTTCTCGATGCTGATACTATGGTGAGTGCTAGCGGAGCACCCAGCGGTGGCATCCATAGCTGCGATCGAAATACATAGAGACATATATAGATACATAGAAATATATATATATATATATATATCAGGGGTTAATAAAGACAAAGGATTCAAAGATCAGGGGTTAATAAAGACAAAGGATTCAAAGATCAGGGGTTAATAATAACAAACGTCTTATTGTCTTATTTGTCTTCATTAATCCCTGATATATATATATATATATATATAGTTTAACTAGTATATTATTTCTATGGTAGCTGCAGACGGCTTTACCGTGCATCGAAGACCACAGAACAGTTAATTGCTGTAGACGGCTCTCACGTCATACGTACACTATAAGACAGTAATCACGCGCAATGCTGTACGTGCTTTAGTCGAACCACTATCCGTATTTTCGTATAATGTAATACGGGGTTAGACTGAATCCAGTATTGCCTTAGGCTACCGCCCACGACGTTGATGTCAACAGCGGCTTATTGGGCAAACCTAATACGGGGCGGTCCTTTCAATTTCAATTTTAATTGCACGTATACAAGTGCATAGCGTCAGGAGAACATAATATACACAATCTCAGAATATATATATATATATCACCTGATATATATATTCTCCCCTCTATTCTCCTGATTCTAAAATTGATACAAAACAGGCAGGGTTAGCCTGAACCAATCAGCTATGAGATATCCGAGCCATATCTACACACTACACATTGTATAGACATGTACGTGACGTAACTAAATATCTATCTATCTATTCAAAGAAGCTTTACGTGCAAAACCGTGAGGGTGCATTTATGTTCTCACCCTCATATTGTGTAATGTACTAACCTACATCATAAACTAATCGCGTTTTCACCATCGGATATGTGTTGTGACTATAATGTGCTCCATAAAAGCGAAGAATGCACAATATAAAGATTCGGATGAAAGCCGAATTCGAAATCGTAACAATGGCTGCCGTGGCAAGATCACAAAGTCTAACGGCATTATCATAAGCGTCGGTTATATAACCATAGAAATAATATACTAGTTACTCTATATATTTCAATGCCTCTATATATTTATATCAAGAGCGTATTAAGTATTAGTATTACACGCTCTTGTTTATATGGTTATAGTGTAGACGATTCCCCTGTGCTTGCCTATTCGCCTCACGTTATACAGTTCTTTTTCCTCCCTACTCTAACACAGGTGAAATTGGAGCGTAATTCTGTTATTGAATTTTGGCATTCATATCCTAATGTGTATGCATTTTTTTCACTGAAATAATTACACCATTAGATTCTGCAAGTCAAAGAACTAATGAAAAGACACTTTATTCATGTTTTTATGTTAAATGTTTACGAAGATAGAACAATTAATAGATATTTAGAATTCCGCGGCGGCCAGCTTGGATTTTCCATTGTTACGGCCGTCACGGACAAAATTTAGCTTGGAAAAAAAAAAAAATCATATATCATTTAGTATACCCTTAACATCATATATATACCAATTTTGGTGCTTTTATCACAAAACCGAAATTTTTTCACATATCTGCCCCACTATGTATCTAATCGTGAAACTTCACACTAGGTGCTCATGAATATTGAAGAGTTGTTTGAGGAGACCGCGGAACTGTCGGCAGCGCCAGACTACGGCTGGCCGGATCTATTCAACACGGGCATGTTTGTGTTCAGCCCTAGCAAGGAAACCTACGGAAAGCTGCTGCAGATGGCCACCACCGACGGCAGTTTCGATGGTAGGCGTCGGGGATGTGTTCCCACGCGTGCGTGCGTGTGTGTGGTCACGACTTGGTCTGTCTGCGTGCGTGGTGTGTCTTGTATGTCAACCCTGCGTGGAGAGTTTCCTGTGTGTGTGTGCGCGTGTGTGTGTGCGTGTGTGCGCGCGCGTGTGTGTGCGTGTGTGCGCGCGCGTGCGTGCGTGTGCGTGTGTGCGTGCGTTTACGTACGTGTGTGTGCGTGTATGTGCGCATGTGTGTGCGTGCGTTTACGTACGTATCATGTGCGTGTGTGTATCCGCGTGTGAATCGTCATTCTCCATCGGTTCTAGCGCCATATTAAATATACGCATGCATACGTAATCTGTTGTCGCTGTTTGTATATGCGGTGGAGATATTGACATATATATGACGCATATCGGAGATAGGTACGACAACGAGAACATAATATACACGTAGGTGTGTGTGTGTGCGTGGGTGTGTTGCGTTCCCCTGGTTCTATAGGCATGAGCCTTTAGTTGATATCAAGAGCGTATTAAGAAGGAAGAAGAGAGAATTACCTTCTTAATACGCTCTTGTTGATATGCCAATATATAGCAACATCAAGCGACCTGAAGGCGTATAGGATGGCTTAGCCAATATAGACGTATCGTATTCGATGTATGTTTTGTGTGATCTTTATGTTGGTAACTTATTATGAAGGTCAAACCCACGCACGCAGCAAGCAACACAACGCCCACACTAGTCTCTCGGTCTCTCCCTATCCGTGTCTCTCTCGCTCTCCCATCCCTCTCCGTGTCTCTCTCGCTCTCCCATCCCTCTCCGTGTCTCTCTCTTCTTCTCCGTGTCTCTCGCTCACTCGCTCTCTCCTCCCTTTTTCCCCCTCTCTCTCTCCCTCTCCGTGCCCCTCTCTCCCTCTCCGTGTCCCCTCTCCCTCTCCGTGCCCCTCTCTCCCTCCCCGTGCCCCTCTCTCCCTCTCCGTGTCCCCTCTCCCTCTCCGTGCCCCTCTCTCCCTCCCTCTTTCCGTGTCCCCTCTCCCTCTCCGTGCCCCTCTCTCCTCCGTGTCTCGCTGGCCTCCCTTTCTCTCCCTCTCCACCCCTCTCCGTGTCTCGCTCTTTCCCCCTCTCTCTCCTTCTCCTTGTCTTTCTCCTTCCTCTTTCTCCTTCTCCCTCCCTCTCCGTGTCTCTCTCTCTCCATCTTCCTCCCTCTCCATGTCTCGATCTCACTCCCTCTCTCCTTCTCCGTGTCTCTCTCTCTCTCCCTTCCCTCCCTCTCCGTGTCCCCATCTCCATCCCTCTCCCTCGCTCTCCGTGTCCGTCTCTCCTTCCCTCTCTCCTTCCCCGTGTCTCTCTCTCTCTCTCCCCCTCCCTATCTCTATCCCTGTCTGGTAATAGCTGAGTATAGTTGGGTGTCATGTCATACACGTATACGGGTTTTTCGCGAGTAACATGTATATATATAGTGCCAGGCAGTTTCAGCAGCAACATCAATCATCGTTGTGTTTTTCGGTGTCACGTTGTTTTCCCTGCCACTCTTCCCCCCCCCCCTCTCGCACCCACCGATCACGCTGAAGCAAAAATACTCTGGAACCTGTTATGTGTGTATACAACAGGCTCATTCTTTCCTCCCCGCAGGTGGCGACCAAGGCTTGCTCAATCAGTATTTCAAAAACTGGAATAGGCTGTCCTGCCTTTACAATGCTCAACCCAGCACCATATACACCTACGGGCCAGCTTATGACAGGTATACGCGCCGTGGTGGCATAGCTCACGTGTATGCAGTCAGTCACGCGCCTCGCTGCAAGCAGGACCAGCAGCTGCAGCGGCATATAATTATAAATGCCGAGAGAGCCATACGGAATATGATCATGATTTATGTTCTGTGCGAACCACTAAACATTTACGAAAACACGAATGCAAATATTTCGGCCCTCTGCCATTAGAGTCAGACTATTGAATTACTGATAGGGTTACTATACCTATATATATATATATATCTATACCTAGACTGGCTGGGTACGTTTCTTCGAGTCTTCTCCGTGATTGTACGTACACGTGGCCGTACGCAGGCAGTGCTGCAGATGGGGTCGTTGTCGTATCTGGTACTACAGATATGTACCCGAGGTAGTTTTAGGTTGTTTAGTATTATGTTTATATTTTTATATGATGTATGTTTAGGGTTAGGGTTAGTGTTAGGGTTAGGGTACACTTCTGTACTACAAGTCTGGTACACTTTGTTTATACATATATGTACCTCGGGTACATATCTGTAGCACCTGATACGACAACGACCCCTTGAGCGGCAGTGCTACCCAGAGACGTCTGAATAGATACAGCCTTACAACTGTTGCTTCATGATATGACTCGTATGAAAAAAACGGCTATTAAAATGAACGGCCTGTCGTCGGGCGAAAAAAAACCGTAGACGTGATGCGTTCGTAGAAAACGTGAGCGTGTCAACAAATCCATCGTCTGGTCGAGCAATATATGTGATACAGTGACTTCAGTACGTAACGCTGTATACAGCGCTTCCTGATCAACGTGCCCCCCCTAATCTTTCGTAGCGTGAACATCTCGAATAAATTAAAACGGATAAGCCGAGTTCTTTCTGCAAACAAGACGAATTTTGCTGTTCTCTGGCGACGCGCCAAAAGAGCGTGCGCCGTAGAAAAATGTATTTTAATCACTACGGCGTGACTTAACGCACGTAATGCACTCGACATTCAACATATCTTTGACTCAGCCGATACCTATAATTCATCACATTACAATGTGAATATGTGGAATAATGTAATCAATAGTCCATAATAGAACCTTTCTATTATGGACTCTTGATGTAATCAGGTGTTAATAAACACAAATAATTTGTCTTTATTAACTCCTGATGTAATGTATAATGTATGAAATGTGTAATAATACGATTCGTTGCGTTGCAATTAACTCCACGGGATTAGCTGCTTCATGTTAGCTGGTTATGTTACTCTATAGCCTGTCGCTGTGTTTACCCGTAAATGACAGACATAACTTGAAACGTTTGCGAGTATACGCACTGACGATATATATACGACTATACTGACGATGACACAGCGTTTGGCGTATGCGCATCGTGAAGCTCTGCATGCGGATATACTGTTGCCATGGATATACTGTTGTTGCCATGGATGCGAGAAGCTTTCGACCTTTGACCTTTATCGCAGGTTCGGTGGCAATATAAAAATTGTGCATTTCCTCGGAGCGTGGAAGCCCTGGATGATCGGGATAGATCCAGAAACGAGGCGCGTGACAGGAATGCCACCTTACGACAACCCACAGATTCGAACGTGGCTGGCGCTGTTCCAAGACCGTGTCCTACCCAAGCTCAGCTCGTCCGTGATTAGAAAATTGGTAAGTGCATAGCAAAAATGTAGCACTCGCTGCTTGGCCTAGTATTAGGAGATTAACAGTGCGGTAACTTTATTTCAACTTGCAACTTGATTCGCTTTTTGCAACTGTGTGTCGTCCTATCAGGAATGTCATAATATAGACGACTTATATATCATATCAGGAGTAAGATAATATAGGATTATTATTATCATTATTATTATCTTACTCCTGATCATATCATGATCATATAGATAACATCAGGAGTGAATAATAGAGAATAATATCTATTAGCAAGAGCGCATTAACCCCGTGGGGTTAATGCGCTCTTGCTATTATTCACTCCTGATAGCATATGATAGATATAGTATAGATTATATATATAGATAGTATATTATGACACTTCTGGTCCTATTGCACTTGAATACCTTGTTCAATGTATAGGTTCACAATCGCATGTGGGCGTTTGATATCCCAGTATAAGTCTTGTGGATAATGTACTAACGCTTGCCAACCTTATGGTTTCGATATATTAGACGTTGCTGTTAATTCAGTGGTTACAGTGGGGCAGCCGCCTTCCCCCCCCCCAAAAAAAATACCCTTAACTAGGGTCCATCTTCATGATCAGAATGCATAAGAAAGCATGGCATTACAGCTAACTTCAAAGTGAATTCATAGCTGAATTAACAGCCACCTACTTCTGCAGACAACTTGATAAATTTTCTGTTTTTTTGTCCCCCGCCCAATCAACTAATGTTAGGCTCCATATAGCTACGGAATTCCTCTTTAACCAGTGACGCAATGTATCACGCAAATTTCATAATCAAGCGTAACAAACTCTGGGGCCAGTAGTCAGAAACATCATGAATAGTTACAACTGCCTTAAATCTAAAATGTAACAAGTTTTGGATGACACTTCATGCGTAACGACATTTTAACATTAATAATATATTTATTTTAACTTAATAACATTTAAGATTTATGATATTATAACTATCAAAAGCTAATAATACCTGTATGATTTGCTCTTGTAACTACGTATATGTTGATTCTGACCAACGCCCCCCCCCCCCCGATCTCTCATACGTACGCTACAATGAGACGCAAACTCTATAATCTAACTGCTTATATTCGGTGTTGCTTGATGTGACTGAAAGACATGCATGCTGGCAATAAATACTAATGAATGATAACAATGCAATTATAATAATTTATAACAATAGTAGTTGCATCGTGTTGCTTGACATTTGCATGCACATGTCGTTTGCCAGACGAGAACAGAACCTTCAGGGGACAACAAGCCAGCGGCGCAACCTTGCCATGTACAGCAGCAAGCTGAGCAGGTAATAGTCTAGTCAGGTCAGCTGGTTGTCAACTGACAGGTGACAGGTGATAAAGTAAGAGCAGTATGGTCAGTCTTAAAGAGCAGCACGAGAGGGTGGGCACTCCACGTCAGCAGGTGTAAGAACAGCCAGGTGAGCAGTGAGAGCAATCAGGTCAGCATTCAGGTATGAGGTACCTGGCGATGGACAGGTAGGAGCTAACCTGGCGATGGACAGGTATGAGGTACCTGGTAATGGACACGTATGAGGTACCTGGTGATGGGCAGGTATGAGGTACCTGGTGATGGACAGGTATGAGGTACCTGGCGATGGACAGGTATGAGGTACCTGGCGATGGACAGGTAGGAGCTAACCTGGCGATGGGCAGGTAGGAGGTACCTGGCGATGGACAAGTATGAGCTACCTGGCGATGGACAAGTATGAGGTACCTGGCGATGGACAGGTATGAGGTACCTGGCGATGGACAGGTATGATGTACCTGGTGATGGGCAGGTATGAGGTACCTGGCGATGGACAGGTATGAGGTACCTGGCGATGGGCAGGTAAGAGCAGACGTGACAGCGAGTAAAAACAAACAGGTTGGCTGTAGATGTCTCAGAATGTCTCAGAATGTGAACCGACTGCTAGGCTACCACCCGACCTAGCTACCATACTGATTATAGTAGAACATATATGCACTTCGCCGAGTTATCACCTGGTGATAGGATAGGCGAATTCCACTGCGGGGTATTTATCTATAGTTTTGTCGTTGGCTATACAGGTTACAGTGTGATTAATATCGCGTGTGTGCGTGAGAGCAAATCGTATATAAAATCTCTTTCTTGAGAGTCGATCATGTATGGCATTATATCACACCTACCCGAGCTCTGGTCGATAATGGCAGAGATGAGGAGATAGAGGGAGGGGGGTACTCGAGAACATTCTCACTCGAATCTATTGTGAAATGACATTTTTGCGAGGAAGGGCAGTAATCGCCGGGAGCGTACTGGGGATGGAAGCTTGTATACGTGTTATGTGAAGGTACAGCGCTTGTCTCCTAGCCTTTGGCATGAAGCAGCTAACAACACTGCTAATGATGCAACCGGCAGTTAGATGCGATATGATATGACTACTAGGCACTTTAATTTAATTTAATTTTTTTTTTTAGGGTTAGGGTTAGGGTTTAGGTTAGGTTTAGGGTTTAGGTTAGGTTAGGGATAGGGTTAGGGTTTTTTTTTTTTTTAAGTGCCTAGTAGTCATATCATATCGCATCTAACTGCCGGGTGCGCTAATGATACGCCTCCCGCGGTGGCAAGTATGGATTTGCTGTTTTAATAACAGCTCAGGCCATACATGTTCGCGTTTGCACGCTCACGAAGGGCTTTTCTTTATTAAGGCGCATCTGTTACGTAATAGCACGGAGGATGTGCTTGCCAAGAGAGAATTGGTGTTCGCTCGCGTGCGTGCGTGTGTGCGTGCGTGTGTGTGTATGTGTGTGCGTGCGTGCGTATTTACAGTTGTGCATAGACACTTGTGCACGCAGATGCGTGTGTGAATATTGACGATAGGATATCGATAAACCATTTCTGCGTGTACTACTGAACTGTTCCCTCTTTATTCAGGCCCCGGGGTATGTAGACGTGGGAGAGGAGAATGAACCTAGTCGGGACAGCGAGAAGGATTTGGAACAGCAACAGCAGAGGTACAAGCAGTTACTGTTGTTTTAGCGGCTCGTGCCAGCTGCTGTAAAATATTACTGCAGCAAATCACTTCATGTGTTTGCATGCAGCCAGCAACAGAATGATTAACTTTCTTCCGCGAGTGCTCGATGTGGATTCTAGCGCTTATAGTAAAACTGCGGAATTCGCAAAAACATCACGCAGGCTCGCGCGGAAGAAGGAACAAACAAAAAGCAAAGACTACAAAATGCTCGCGGTGTTAGTATCATCAATTAATAGCATATTAGATTACTAAATTCACAGAATGAACAGAGAGTGAATTAACTCAAACTGCACCAATGTGTTGGTATCGTTAATTACTGAATCGTTAGCATTGAATTACTGAATTCACAGGTAGGAAATTAGTAACCCAGACTGCACCGATGCGTTCAACAGTCCGATGCGTGCTTGATATCTCATCTATATTATGACACTCCTGATGCGTTGGTATCGTAAATTAATAGCACTTAATTACTTTAATTAATTATTAAATTTAATTAATTAACTTAATTACTTATTAATTAACTTTACAGGTGGGAGTTGGGCAACCCTGACTACACCGGGGAGGATAGTTTTGAGAACATTCTTGCCCATCTGCACCTGACGACCGACTGCACTCTGGCTACGCCACGTCCGAGACCCAAAAAGGTGCAGCGAGTCATGGTTAGGCCTAAGTTCCACGGCGTGGATGGCTCGTCCACGGTGCCGTACACAGAGGAAGGTACCTGGCACAACGCGCCGCTGCCACGGCTAGAGGCAGACATCGATAAGGTTAGTGAAGGATGCAAACGAGTGTTCGGTATTATTATATAGCAACAAATCGTGAGAATGACAGCCATCCACGTGGAAGATTTAAAAAAATAGTTGTCAATGTGTGTTTGTGCGCGCACGTGTGTGTGTGTGTGTGTGCGTGCGTGCGTGCGTGCGTGCGTGTTTGTGCGTGCGTGTGTGCGTGTGTGCGCATGCGTGCGCGTATGTATTTAAATAAGCCCCCAATTTAAGTTACTTGAAATTATATCGAATGGCTTCCCTATCTCATGCATAGGTGGCGCCACACAATGGTTCCGAGTCTGGCAGTTCTGAGTCGGCGAGTGGAACAGACACTGAGGACGACGACGAAGCGCAAGACTTTGAATCTTGGATGAATGAGCGGCACAGCGCTAGGCCAGTGGCAGTGGGACGCATCGCATCAAAGCCCTCACCGTGTCGCATGTGCAAGCATGTGGAGACCGCCCCCAGAGAACAACCCCAGGTTGCTAGCACGGGCAGATCAGCGGCAGTATCGCAAGGTGCGAGGGCAGCGGCTGCAAAGGGGAGCGAGGAAAAGAGGAAATCGAAGAAGAAAATCGACGGAGCCGGTACGTGCGACAGAAACAGGAACAACAACAATAGCAACAGCGGCAACGTCTCGCGGACGCGGTTCGCGGGTGAGCGGCAATGCTACGCATCCACCAGCAGTCGATCGAATGTCCAGCAGTCAGTCGCCAGCTTCGTCACACCGCGAACCCACGCGATCTTGACCGAAGAGGAAACCACACGAATGGAGAGCTGGGAGTCCGGAGCACCTGACATCGGTGGTGTGGATAAGTTTGACAGCATACTAACGCACGTCTTAAGCAAGGTCAATGGAGACAAGAAGCAGAATGAAGGCGGTAGCCGGCGTAAAGAGAAAAGAGCTGGCAGGAAGCATCGAAAGAAAACACTTTGATCGTACGATAAGATAAGTAATTCGCATGGAAAACGACAGAGAAACGGTGGCAAGAAAATATTGAAGCAGCGGGCAGCGAAAAAAAGGTCCATCTACAATCACAGGACATAACAACACCAGTAAACCATATGTTAGATGATAATTCCTAGACGGTAGTGCTAAAATCAACTCTAGGAAGGCAATAGTAATCTTCTTTCGGCTTGACAGCTACTAGCAGGAATATATATATATATATGTTTGTGTTTGTTTGTGCGTGTGTGTGTATATTCCTGTTATATACGGTGGAAAATTCACTGAGGATCTTTCGGTACTCAGGGGCTCTAGCGTTATAGTACGATTTATAAAAATTGAACAAATGATTTAAGAATGCAACTACTTCTGAGGCTAACAGTTATGTAACGAATTAGTAGGGACAGTAATGTCGGCAATACTTTGGGAAACCTCAGAAATTGATCAGCTCAGCTTTACTATGTTTAACGATCGATGCATTTAATTGCAAGCTGCTGTAGAGACATGCTATAAATAGCATAGACTAACGATATCACCAGAGAATTTACTCGGTATTCTTCTCTACGTTGTTTACTAATACTTACTGTGGCTAGGCCATACTAGGTGTGTGATAATGATAGAACAAGCACAGTATATAAGATCGCTTGCATTCTGTTGAGAACCATAGTTAGTGAAATGATATGTAGTGTTGGTTTGTGATGAGAGTAGAAAGAGATAAAGATCTAGAGTTTAGAACGGAAGGTAACTGTTTCAGTGAGCGCGTAGAGTATTCCGCAATTTATGACTGCCAATATTACGGCCGATAATCGGTTAAGGAATAAATTCGTTATTGTTAATTAGTTATAGCTTGAAAAGACGATTACGCGTTGATATAAGAATAAGTGAGTTATGACAAGCCCGTGTCTAGCATTAATTAGCATTAATTACATTTACGCGCGCGCATGATTGTGACGAACTGAAGGTGTGACGCACGCCTAAGGTTAATTCCAGGTACAGTGGGTGAAATGAGGAGTCTTTACATATAATATAATACAATAGTAAAATAATATAAATGCATACACGTATTATATTATATTAAAAATATGTAAGACTATAGTATAGGCAAGCGGAATTTTTTCGCTACGTCTACGCTCATGTAGTGGCGAAAGTTGTACCCCTTAAAGACACTTTGAAACACACGCGATCAGAATTAAAAAAATGATGGAAAAAACGCGAAAAAATTGGCCGGAAATGTAAATAGGGGCCCACTACCAACGTGCATGTTCCGATTCCGGACGTAGATGCGTCATCAACGCACTATTCCCTCGACGTATGACCCACCACACGACCAAACGGGGCGGACGTCTATATCATATTGTCAGGAGTGAATAATAATAGTAATAATAGTAATATATTATTATTCACTCCTGATATTGTTAGAGCGCGTTCGAGTTGTTAAGGATGGCTGATGTTTGGAGCCGGTTGGGTGCAGGCACGGAAATGATAACCGGAAGTGGGTTACGGAACGCGTGAACGTTCACTTATATACGCGTCCCGTCGTCTGGTCTGGTTTTATTTTCGCTCTTGCGCTCAGTCGGCTAGATTGTAGGGTTTTTCTGCCAGATATATGTATTTTTTAAATCGTTTTACTAAGTTGAATTAGTGAAATGATTCTATTTTCATATAAGCAGGAAAAAAAGCTGCCACGCGTGCGTTGACCGGTGCTAGATTGGCCAAATTACTCTGTTCAAAGTTATTGGCGGTATCATCATCGCATTAGTGAATATTCAAATTGATTTAGTGTTGATCAAATGATTTGCCGGTTACCTGTTTTCGCGTCTAGCATTAGAAGAAACTACACTGAATAGTGAACATATGTTTCGCGGCGGGGTAGCCGTGCGCGTTTGTTTTTCCCGGTGCAGACGCGTGTACGCGCACACAAGGGTTATGCGTAGACGCTGACACCAAGCCACTGAGCTGTGTATAATTATATAATACCTGTTATGATAGATGAAAAAATAAATGTTATTATATACAGCTCGGTGCATCAAGCGTACTGATTAACATCATCGGTGTTCCACGATTTGGGTCTCGTTGGCGGTCGCAATAGCATCACTAGTATTATGGTGTAATTAGTAGTATGGTGAGAATGAAAACTGCCTAACTTTGTAGTTGCTTGACCGGAAGTCGCCTGTGTGCTGGCCACTGCAACCACGGCGCCACTAATCGTCCAGCGGTCAGTTACGCGACGCTCGCCTGACCGACAATTGTCCGTCAGAGCGTCCGAAAATCATTGTCGTGAGCTTCTAGTGCTTATTCGCGCAGTTACTGAATTGGTTTGCGTAGATATAAAACGGAGTAAAACTAATCCCGTATTTGCGAACTCGCATATATCAAAACTCTAGTCCTTTAATAATTCCTAAAACGTTCCTTTTGTGTGTGCAGACCATAGTCTAGATGTAGGCATTGGCATCAATACGTATCCAAGTGAAGTTCTAAACTGTGTGGATACCCTGTTGGTGACATGTGCGTCTAGTACTAAACGATGCTTAGTGTAGTCACGTTGTTATGTAATGAAATGTTTAATAGATGATTATTAAAAAATAAATCGCCACGTTATCTGGTTAGGGACAATATGAATTCTATGCATTCTTTCATTCGAAAGTCACCGCACCGCTACGTCGTTGACGCTACCTACGCTTTATGATTATGAATTTATGTGCTGTTACGAGACCATATAAACTCCCCAAGTCGTTGCTGGTATCAACGCCTGATGTACACGCATAAGAGACAGTAGCAATCGGTTAACGTTGGAGACGCGAGCTACAATTACGGGGAGGCAAATCCATTTTAAAAAGGTGGGGGGCGAGACGTGGTTCAAGAGCCTGCGAGGGAGCAAAGCGGCCGAGTGGGGAGCTGGGAAGGGGGTATCCTCCGTCCAACGGTAGGAACTTTTCGTATTTTTGATCTCTAAACGTTTAATTTTCGCGCATTTTCATTGCAAGTATCAACTATTGTTTGTATCGTTTGCATGCCATAAACTAGGTCATCCTTCGGCTGATCACTCGAGGTCGATGAATTTTCAAAACTTTCCATTTCAAAGAATGCTTTTTTGACTTTTTCGTCTTCGTGTATATTGTTGATTGTATTCCATCAGGGGCTTCGACACATTTTTTGGAGGGGGGAGGGCAAACAATATATTCATAATTTAACGTGTTAAAGTATGGTAGCTTCAACTATGATATCTTTATGTATCTCTCAAATTTATCTCAAAAGAAAATTAAACTTGACACTTTTCACATGTACTGGAATTACAATCATTCACTGAGTGAAATATGTTTCTTTTTATGGATACTGAATCTGAGATAAAAAAAGGACTGGAATCCCCTTTTCCTTTAATAAAGGTATTTGTTTTAAAAGGTAATAAGCTTTTAATAAAGGTAATAAGGTTTTTTTTATAAAGGTAGTAGCCTTCATTTTCAAAGCATCGTGGGAGGTCTCGAACAAATTTTAGCTCATAGGCTCATTGTAGGCTCATTTAGACACTAGGTTATTTAGGCTCATTGTAACTTAAAATGAGGATTCATCAAAGTAAACATATCGCAGCATTGGATTTATGGTTATAATGTGACATTTAAATGAGAAATTAAACGTTTTCCTCTTAAGGCGACTGGAAGACGCCTTAAGAACTCAAAGAAAATACCCTAATGCCAATTGGCATCTACAAAGGAAGTTTTATGGAAATTGGGAGGGTGTGCAAATGAGGGCTACTACCTTTAATGTAAACACTAAAAAACTATCTAAACTCTAAAGTAATAGACTTTTGTTTTCACTGTATCTAAAATGAAAGACCCTACGAATACCGTCTTGACCCTGTATCTCTTAACCCGTATACTGCTGAAAGGTTTTTAGATTTTGGAGAATTTTCATGTAGACCTACACTCCTAAAAAAGTTCGAAAATACAGGTTTGATCGATATATCTTTGTTGTACCTGCATTATTATCATTGCATTTCGTATCATTGGAAAGCCTGTTCATTTCCCTTCACAATGGTGTCCCATGGCAATGATTATGCAATTGGGGGATGTGCAGTACAGTTCGAAACAAGAGTCAATATAAAGGAGAATACACTTTTGACAATAGCAGTGCATTTTGTAACTATTTCACTTCAGACCCACCCCATATTCAGTTTAATGATAAGAATTTATTACAGAAATCGATGCTGAGATACCCCTAACCATACTAAATGCGTTTTCATCACAAAATAAAACTCTCTGTGAGATACTGCTCATGCGCTAAAACAGTAACGTAGATATGTTACGTACTTAATGGTATATGCTGGCGGTGACCTTACATGCAAGGTCTGCTTCCTATTTCTGATATTGAGGTCTAATGTTTGAATTGTATTATATAAATCTATGCTAGAATGACCCCTCTTCATTTTAAAATCATGTTTGCAAAATATTCTTTTCTTCTCGGCAGATATTGCACATGCGCGAGCACCGTTTCAGACGTGCAGTACGGCCAAAGGGAAAAATACGTAAATATAGCTTGCTGAGGAGAGAGGGGTGGGAAACTGAGCGAAAGGTGCAGAGTAGACAGTCGAGGGCGAAGAGAGGAGAAGTAGGCTGAGCGTGCGACAATGGGGACAAAGGGAAGGGCGGGGCGAGATAAAGTAGGAGTCTGGCATCCCACAGGCTAGGGCGCTCTCCTAACTATAAACACAGGTCTACTGATAAGAATTTATTACAGAATCCCATGTTGAGATATCCCTGACCATACTAAATGCGTTTTCATCACAAAATAAAATTTCTCTGGTAATCCTCTGGTGAGATACTGCTCATGCCGCTAAAACAGTAACGTAGCCAGGTTACGTATATATATACGTATATATATCAATATAATAGAGATATTGCGCATGCGCGAGCACCGTTTCAGACGTGCAGTACGGCCAAAAAAAAAGTACGTAAACATAGCTTGCTGAGGGAGAGAGGGGTGGAAAAACTGAGGAAAGGTGTAGGGAAGACAGTCGGAGGGGCGGTGAAAGAGAAGAAGCTGCACGTGAGCCGTGCGACAATGGAGACAAGGAAGGGCGGCGCGGGATAAAGTAGCGGTTTTGCACACTACAGGCTAGGGCGCTCTCCTAACTACAAACACAGGTCTACTGGTAAGAATTTATTACAGAAATCTATGTTACGATTATCCCCTGCCCATACTAAATGCGTTTTCATACACAAAATAAAACTCCTCTGTTGAGATATTTGCGCATGCGCTAAAACTGTAACGTAACCAGGTATGTACTTAATGGTATATGCAGCGGGGACCTTACATGGCAAGGTCTGCTTCTTACTTCTCAAGTAAAGTCTATGATAAAATTTTATTATAGAGATCTATGCTAGGCGAACCTCTTCATTTTAAATTCATAATGATGGCAAAATATTCTTCTTACTCGGAGATATTGCGCATCCGCGAGCACCGTTTCAGACGTGCGGTAGCGGCCAAAGAAGTACGTAAAATATAGCTTGCTGAGGGAGAGAGGGGTGGGAAACTGAGCAAAGGTGCAGGAAAGACAGTCGAGGAGCGGTGGAAGGAGAAGGAGGCTGAGCGTGCGACAATGGAGATAATGGGAAGGGCGGGCGGAGACAAAGTAGGAGTTTTTGCACCCTACAGGCTAGGGCGCTCTCCTAACTATAAACACAGGTCTACTGATAAAAATGTATTACAGCATCCCATGCTGAGATATCCTTTAACCATACTAAATGCATTTTCATCACAAAATAAAAACTCCTCTGGTGAGATATTGGACATGCCGCTAAAATGTAACGTATCCAGCTTATTTACTTAATGGTATATGCCAGCGGAGACTTTACATGCAAGGTCTGCTTCCTATTTCA